CAAGTCCAGAGAGCTTTACAAATATATTTTACCAAACTTAAAAGTAACTTATTCTCTCTCTCTCTCTCCACACACACACACACACACAATACATACAATTTCAGTTAATAGAAAAGAAAGAAAGCTACTTGACTCATACTTTAAGACTAACATACCCTGGAAACCAAAACTGGAAAAGGACAATGCAAGAAAAGATAATTAGAGCCTAAGTTTAATTATAAAATAGATGTAAAATCTTTTTAAAAAATTTACCAAACAGTGTATAAAAGTAACCATGCTCTGATTAAGTATAGTTTATTTCAGGAGTGCAGGCATACCACCAAATAAGAAAAAAATATATTAATTAAACACTATATAACTGATGGAAGGAGAATAATTCCATGGTTATCTTAATAAATATACTAAAAGTACTCAATACAATTAACCACTCATTTATGATAAAGAGAAATCTTGGCAAACCAACTTTTAAAGTGTATCTATCAAAACAAGAAGCAAGCATATTGCTTAAGAGTGAAATTTTAAAAACAGTTGCATTAAGGTCAGATGCAAAAGAAGAACGCCCATGGTCACTGCTTCTGTTCAACATAGTACTGAGGCCAATGAAATAAGGCAAGAACAACAACAAAAGTAACAGATCTAAGAAGTGGAAAGATATAAAATTGTCTTCTGTTTCAGACAATCTGATTACCTATTCAGAAAATTCTACAGTTTCTACAGACAATCAGCTAAATTAACAGAAGCTCAATAAAGTTGCTGCATACAGATAACATTTAGAAATCAATATTGTTCCCATATACCAGGAATTATCACATAGAAATTGTAACAAAATTCCATTTTTGCTATAGCAACAAAAACTTTAAATATGTAGAAATAAATTTAACAAAAATTTGTAATACATTTATGGAGAAAATTACCAAAAAATCCCTTGAAGTTTATTGAAAAAGGCCCACCTAAATGGAGAGTTATACCATGTTTATGGATGGGAAGATTCATTGTTATAAAATGTCAACTATCTGATATGACCCATAAATTCTACTCAACCTTAATCAAACCCAAACAGGATTTTTCAGGAAACTCATACAAGTATATCTAAGAAAAATTTGAAGAACAAAGTTGGAGATTTTTCTTCCTGATAGCAAAGCTAATTATAAAACTATAATCATTGACACTCTCGTGTTGAGTCGAGGATAAACAAATTTATGAAACAGATATACACTGAAGTGGTGAGTTAATATATTTGGCCAAGCATACATTCAATTAGTGGTGATTGGACAATCAGTTATAATAATACGAAGATTTCTCAATCACGCCTATCAAAAATCTATTTCAAGTTGATTAAATACTAAAACGTAAAAAGCAACACTTTAAAATATTTAGAAGAAAGTATGTAGAGAAACATTTGAAACAAGGAATTAATATCTGAAAAATATTAGGAGGTCATGATACGGAAAATATTTTGTTTTCTTAGTGACTTTGTCATTTTTGGAAAACATCATTGTTATGAAAAAATTATTTGGAGGCGAACTTG